CCCTTGATCATTGGGGAAACTTTTATGAAAGGCGAAAGTTTTACTGGACCAGTCGCGGCAGATTCGATTGCAGTGTTACCAGTCGGGAAGACGAGCGGACACGGACCGGCGGAAAAGCGTGTAAGGCGGCTCACCGGGGCGCACCAGGGACAGCCCGGGTCAGCGGCGGCGCGAAGAGGAAGGAGGTGGCGAGGGAGGGGGCGGCGATGAGGGCGGCGGCGGCGAGGGAAGGGGGCGGTGGTGGGGGCGGAAAAGGAGATGGCGGCGGTGGCGGTGAGGGTGGCGGCGGGGACGGCGGCGGCGGAGGCGATGTGGCGGCGGGGACAGCGAACCTTCTTGTCATCCCACTCCTTCACGAAATGGACCGCGCTGCCTTGGGCGAGCGCGTTGCCGTCGCTGATCTGCGAGAAGTGGCAGAAGAGGTCCTCCCCGCCGTCGTCGGGCGCGATGAAGCCGAAGCCCTTCTCACCGTTCCACCGCACCACCTTGCCCTGGATCATGCCCTCTGGCGGCGGGCCCGAAACGCCGCCGCCGCCGCCGCCGCCGCCGAGTGCATCCTCCTCGCCGCCGGTGACTTGCTCGGCGCGCTCCTTGCCCTTGCGCTCGTCGTACACCTTGACAAACTGCACCTGGGCGCCCTCCCGCAGCATGTTGCCGTCGAGGATGGACGAGTAGTGGCAGAAGAGGTCGCCGCCGCCGTCGTCGGGCTTGATGAAGCCGAAGCCCTTGTAGTTCCAGCGGAGGGCCGTGCCGGTTCCCCGCGGGCCGGCGTCGCCCGCGCCGGCGTCGCCCGTCATCGCCGCGTCGCCCATCATTGCGCGGAGCTGCTGTCTCCACGATGAGCGGAGGTCCCTCTGAGCACAGAGAGCCCGACAATTTTTTTTTTACCAACTCGTGCAGAAATACCGCACCAACGTCGCGGGTTCGCCGCTGCTTGCGCCGCTGCTGCAGGAGGTGCCCCGAGACATGCGCCGTCTCGGCGGACGACTCGGACGCGCCTAGGGTGCCCACAGGACCCAAAAAAAGAAAGGAAAAAAGAAATTGGCCATTCCCGATCGCAGCACTTCGTGTTGGATAGTCGAGATATTGAGAGTGTGACTAGGAGGGTGGGACGCTGGGGATTCTCAAAGGTATCACCGTCCACCTCGGCTTCGCCACACACGCGCCCAACGTCGGCGGCGACATCCAGGAGGAGCTCCGCGCGATCCAGCGGCGCGACGAGCGGGTGCGTCCACCCCCGCTCTCACCTCCACCCCTCGCACCCGCACCGACCCTCCTTGCCGCGCGCGCTCAGGAGGGCCGGCCCGCCTTTTCTTTCAAGGAGAATTTTAACATCGCGCGCGACGGCCGGAAGGAGGCGGGGAAGCTCGAGCAGCTCTACGTCAAGCACTGCATGCCTGCCATCTCCCTCTGGCCGAGCGTCGCGTGGCCCACGTACTCGCACGCCTCGCGCTACATCCACTGGTGGACATGCAAGGAGCTCCGCACCCACCGCCGAATTGTCGGTGGTCCGTGAATACCTCCCTCACGGAGGAGGACTGCTGACAGGGTTTGCGATGAGGAGCGACCCGAAGGGTTTCTCGGAGGTTAGGGCGTTAGCACCACTAACCGCCGAAGCGCAAGCACTTGGAGCAAGAACACTACGACCTGGGTCGGGCTCATACTAGCACCCCACCTCGCGGGCCGATATTCCACAGCCTGGTTCCGTTCACACTTCTGCGCAACTCGAGAGACCCCAGATTGGCATCCATGCCTCTCTGGACAGGGTGGCCCGCCACAACGACCCCTGGAATTGCGACTCGCCGCTTTCCTCCCGCTGTGATTCTGTGTGAGCTCTGTGTCTTGATTTGCCAACGACACGCTCCCACCGCAAGCGCAGCGAGAGCAGCAAGGCGCAAGGCCATGGGCTACGCTCCGCCTCGCTCTCCCGACACGCAGCCAGTCGGCGTCAAGAAGAGACGCTCGCCGAAGCCCGGCCCGAGCCACATCATTGACCTGCGGCCGGCGCTCGAGGCAGTGCACGTCAGCAGCGCCCGGTGCGCCCTTGCATATCTGCCGTGGGAGTTGGGCGCTCGACCCTCCACTCCAGAGAAGGAGCACAGGTCCGGGCCACCGGACGCCGGGCTAAGCCTGCGCAGCGAGAGGCCGCACGCTGGCGAGCGCGATGCCGCGCCGCAAAAGCTGCGTGTCTCGCGCATTTGTGTCGAGGACATTGTGTCTGCCCAGATTGACGCGTGCGATCCGCTGAAGACCCTCCCCGCGGCCGACTTCTGCCACGTGCTCTCCGAGGTGACGGACATCGTGGTGCGGGTCATGACCGAAGGCGAGCGCGCGGTGCGTGCCGGACCCCGTAGATGCTGAAAGCACGGGCCTCCCGACGCTACTCTCACTCAGGACTTGAGAATCACCGCGGCATCCCCGTGCAGCGCAGGTGTGCGACGGCGAGGACCTCGCCTTCATCAGACGGCGCGTGCAGGAGCTGGTCCAGCCAGGGCCGGGAGCGTCGGAGGGCATGGTGGTGTACGATTACGAGCAGGCTAGCAGGCGGGGCGAGCGGCAGCGCGCGGCGGCGCCGTCGACAGAGCGCTTCCAGCGGTACGACCACGTGGCGTGCCGGCTGGACGGGGGCACATGGGCCAGCGGCGTCGTGCACCTGCACGCCAAGCTGCCCTTCGTGCACGTGAAGCTGATCGACCCGGACGACATGTACAACCACGGTCGGATCATCGCCGTGCCGGAAGGCGCGTGCCACCTGCAGCGGGCCGCCGTCTGCGATGACTCGGCGCTGTTTTACCCCGTCATCAACCTGCGGAAATCGGCATAGTGTGTGTAGCTAGCAGTATGTAGTTGGAGCGACTCTCTCTTCGTTCGAATGTGTGTGCTGCCTCTGTGTCGCCCCCGTCGATCGCGAGCGAGTGTTCCTTCAGGGATGTCCTGCTTATTCTATTTCTGTCTGAGCCCGCTTTCTAGGTAAGTCGCTCGAGTAAGTAACGAGTCGAAACGAGGTACCGGAGTACGTGGCTGGGTTCACAGCGATTGTAGGAAAGTGTCGTCGGGAACTACACGTTAAACGGCGGTCGGGGTCGCGGCCTTCCGACTCGCGCCTCCGCCTCACTGGCACTATTGTAGCCCTGGCCGGTGCGCGTGTGAAGTTTAAGTTCCGGAGTGAAAATTCGAACGCGTTCTCTAACGGTGACCAAAAAATGTCCACCTCAGAGGCACCTCCGGAGGCCGGCCGCCGCACGCCGGCGACACAGTCAGCATTGGCCAGCCGGTGGCGCTGGCGCCCGCCTGGCCAGTGGCGCCGCTGCCGGGGCAAGGTCCGCCCGTCACAGCCGGCATATTCCTTGGCTCAATCGAACCGCAGCAGCAGGGTTTGACGGCCGAGGCTGCGATCCAGCATGCTGAGCCGCGCGTGGCTACGCGCTCCACGCAGAGCGTGTTTGCGTCGCCTGCAAGAACGTTGCGCGCATCCGCACCAGAACCAGAGCCCAGACAGCATCAGAGCGAGCCGAGGCGCCCACCCTTCGTTGTGCCGCCGGCGCAGTTGCTTTGGGAGCCCACAATGCCAGGGCCAGTGATGCCAGGGGCTGTGGTTCCGGGCGCTGTGCCGCCACTCCCACCATTCGTTGTGCCGCCGGCGCAGTTGCTTAGGGAGCCCACAATGCCAGGGCCAGTGATGCCAGGGGCTGTGGTTCCGGGCGCTGTGCCGCCACTGAGTCTGCAGATTGGCTCGTCGGCCGCCATGGCGTGCCAGCAGTACCATGGGGAGGCGAGGCCAATCAGACAACAGAAGAAGCGAAAGGCGGAGGAGATGGACAGCGTGGCTGGCAGCGCGGGCGCTTCAGCGGCTCCGACGGCTTCTGCGTCGCCAGCCGCTTCGCCAGGCGTGTGGACGGAGCCCACGCCGTCTCCCGCCCCTTCGCCCGCGCCGCTGTCTGCGCTGAATCCACCTGAGATGGTCTCAGCACCGCCCAAGGCTTCTGGAGGCGACACCGGCAGCGAGGGTGGAGATCAGGCCGCTGTCACCATCGCTGTCGCTGCCTTCGACGAGTCGTCAGCCATGGAGCAAGAGCTCTTTGCAGGCTGGCAGCTCACGCAGATCTGCACCGTGCACCAGCAGCGCCTTCAGGCAGGCGAGGACCTGCGGAACCACCACGCGATGGAGACACTTGCGGAGGCATCTGAGGCGATGTCTCCTACGATTGGACCTGCGCTCGGCCCGGCCGACGCGCCTTCTCCTCCTCTTTCCAATCCGCCGTCGCCACCTGCACCCCAAGTGAGGCTGGCCTCGCTCGAGGTTGGTATGTGTCAGCACGATCGGGTATCTCCTATTTAACTTGATAAACCAGCCGATCCAACAATCCTTTCACACCGGACGGTAGAGCCAAATCTGACGGCCAGAAAGCTCACCAGCCTCGCAACACATGCCATACCCATCCCTGACAAGCGTGGTTTGACTCACAGAAGCCGCAGGCTACGTGGAAACATAGCTACGTGACCACGCAAAACACGCCCGGAGACGGCTCACATCCCGATATCCCGGGCTCCAACAATGGTCCCACTACCGGACCTATCGCGGTCCGACGCCGATCTACTTGGCTGTCCCCAGCCCACAGGTACCGGGTGCACCCAGCCTGGCCGCAGGAGGGCGGGCCCGGGCCGAACCTCCCACTCAGAGGTCCGTTGAAGTCGTCCGCGGCGCCGTCCCGAAGCAGCAGCCGCGGGAGCGGGAGCGGAGAAGCTCGTACTCGGACCGACGCGATAATATTGACGATGCAATGCCAACTGTGCGTACAATGACTTGTACACACATCACCTGGGTCATGATGGTCCATATGAAGGATGGACAGAGTCACGCACATCGCCTACACGGTCTGAGGGTGGTGAGGACTGATACATGCCCGGGTCGGGTTGAGTGCGATCGGAGAAGAACAAAGTGTGAACTATGCGCCAAATGCGCTGGTCAAGGGGATAGGAGGATGTTGTGTGTGACAGGGCTGCTCCGGAGCAGCCCTAAGCTGCAGGCCTTCGTCCACAGAGACCCGTCAAGGAGCGTCTTCTAGCTTTGTCTGCACGACTGTCACGGATCACGCAAGGCCGCTACGGAGACGAGCAGCTCCGAATCAGCGGCAATCCTCATGCATCCAGGCGTCACAGTCAATATCAGTGGTCTAGCTACCGCCATGCACAGCTTGACGTCGATGTCTCCAGGCTGGAGTGCATGTATCCTTTGTTACGCCGCTCGGAGGTCTGATGGAGCCGCAGAACGCCTGGGGCTGTGAGGGCGTCAGGCGGTGCCGCAGATAGACTTCTACCTCATAGCGCGCACCGATCCATCCGCGCCGGGCCCTGGCCGCCGCCAGCGGACGGTGCACCACCAGAAAGGTCACCTACAGGGCACATTGTTGGACTTTGGCGGCCGATTTGCGCTCGAGCCGCCGCGCGGGAATCAGCACCGGCAGGCAGCGAGAGCACGACTGGCGACCGAGAAGCCAGCAGTGCTGCGCCGACACATACCGGTCTGGCCAGTGCGCGAAGCTGCCGCATGCGGCCTTCCAGAGGCCGAGCGCGCGGCGATTGTTGGACGGTCACGTCGTTTCGGTTTATCGGGACGCGCCGGGATATCAAGTAAATAGGAGATATCGGTCGGTCAGGTTATCGACGAGCCTGTGCTGGATGCCAAAGAGTAGCCAAAAGGACAGGAGGACGATGAGCGGGCCAGTGGACCCCTCCAGGTTACCTCGCAACCCGGCCCTCTCCTCGAGGCGCCGCAGCATCCCCACTCCGTTGCGCGCTGCCACAAGCCACACCCACCCCACGAAGAAGGAGAAAGAGTTGGAGACAAAGAAGCGCTCCACCGTTGCACGCGAGGCGATGTCGTCGCCGCCGTATACCGGCTCCCCCGTCACCACAAACCAGGCGACGGCAAAGGCGGCGGCGGCGAGGGCGAGCAGAACGTTGATGGCGAGGACGTCAATGTCGGGGGGCATGGCTTCGGAAAGGGTCGGGAAGATTACGATGGCCACGTCGAGCCACGCGCACCCAGCTACCCAGCTCATCGCGGCCTGCACCAAGTCGGAGAAGGAGCAGGCCGCCTCGACGACGAGGTCGCGGTGGCCGGCTGCAAGCTTCGGGCTGGATGACTTTATCCTGATCTCCATCAGCTCGAGCGCGGCGCTGAACATCGCGCCCGCGAAGGTGGAGACGCCGGCCCACAGCAGCAGCAGCTTGGTCGTCAGCAAGGGCCCGTCCGCGCCCACGAGGACGGTCCTGTACGACGCATAGTACCAGGCCGACATGACCGTGATCGTGCAACCCCGCGCAACCATGGACCACAGGTCGCTGACCAAGTCCTCGACAAAGTCGATGCACCGCCCGTCGCCCCACTCGATGTTTTGTGCCCAAGGCTGTATCTTGAGCAGCACAAACGCGCTCGTCACGGTGAGGAGAGAGGCGAACCCTATTTCGAGGCCGGTGCAGTCCGGCTCGACCTCAGGCACGAGCGCAGCAGAGTGGTTCGCGTTGAACACGCACGCTTCGCCCCTGAGCGTCATCGCGCAGAGGCCTGGGTGCGCGGCTTTCATCTCCCTCAAGAATTTGTCGGTGGCAAAGGCGAATGCCCACCCCGTCGTGTACTTGAGCATCATGGGGAGCTGGTGGAAGCCTCTCCATCGGTCTGCCAACCCGGTCCACTCGGCCATGTGCTTGCCAAAGCCGCCAATGGGGACGCTGGCGAGCGCGAAGATGTACTGCGAGCTGGCCGGCGCCTCTGTTGTGCATGCCAGCTCCAGGTAGTTCTCGCAGTACAACGTCGGGTGCAGCTGGAAGATGGCATTGGACCAGAGATCAAACCACAGCCGTGACAGCACGAAGACCGTAGTGTCCTCAAAGAAGGTTGCAACCGTCGTCATCTCGCCCACCAAGGAGGACGCGAGCAGAGCACGCGCGTCCGCTATCCGTGGGGGCCAGGTCAGAAAGAGGAGGACGATAAACTGCATCGGCGTCGGGAGATCGGAGGCTTCACTCGTTGCACCAGAAGTCCTCACTGTGTCAGCGTCGTCCATGTTGCGCCGCGTCGAAATGCTAGTGTTCGACGAGCGCAGCCTCGGCGGTGGCGAGTCCCGCCTGCTCATTGTGTGAGGGAGAACGATGACGCGGAGCCCTGCTTTTGTGTGAGCGAGGGAGAACGCTGCAGAGCTGCAGAGCTGCAGGGCGCGGCGCGCTGAGCGATACGTTCGTCCCTCGTCACTGTGATCCGCTAAAAACAATATTTTTTTCTTAGGAGCAACCCAGCATCCTTTCTGAAAAAACGCACGGACAACATGAAGAAGAAGAAAGAGAGATGGCACTCGCTCTCGGGCCCAGAGCTACAGGCGGGAGATTTGTTTTTGAGCTAGCCTATGAAAAAAGACAGAGTCTCCTACGGGAATGCACGTAAGAGCTACATACACTGAAAAACGCAAAAGGGGAAAGAAAAAAGAAAACAGATAAGCAAAGGGAGGGATGGAAACGCAAAAGGGCACATCGCCGGCTCCAGAGTATATTTTCCCATACCACCCAAGCACCCAAGACAGCTTGGAGAGCTCCTGGTCCCGCAACATTTCGTAACGATAGTCCGCTAATTGGCCATCTGAATCCTTCAGCCTCCGCACGCGTACCTAGCACCTACTACTCGAGTAGGGCTAGGCTCTTGGGCGGCGCGCCGCCGCCCAACACTTCACAACGGACCTGGTTGCTCGGCAAGGCTTGCGGTCGGCCGCCTGGTCGGCGAGCGGTCTGCCATGGCCTCTCTCCACCCGTTCCTAGTCCTCCTCTCGCTCGCTAGGGCGTCGAGCCTGGCCATCGAGGCGGGCCCGCTGGGCAGGGAGCTCTTTGTCGCCCGGCGCGCCGCCTCTGCCGTCGGCGGCCTTCTCGCGGCGGGCGGCGCTGTCTCTGCTGGTGAGGCCCTCCTGGCCGAGAGCCTCCGCGGCGCCGCGGTGGCCGCCGGTCGATGGGTCACCCACATCGAGGCTGGCGCCGTGAGCATCGCGTACCTGGGCCGGCCTCCGCCCTCGCTCGAGGACGGGCTCGGGACGGCACACACGGCGCCTCTGGTTGGCGTTGTGTGGCGTGGCGGCACCGTCGGCCAGGGCGGAATCAGCTGCAACACGTCTTATCCCACTGCCACTGCGGGCGCCTGGCATGTGCGAGACCCCCTCCGATGCCGCTCAAGCCACCTCTCAGTTGCACTCCCACCTGGAACAAACGTTGAGCACGTGCCTTGCACGCCACGCACTGCCTGCTACGCTTACCTGCCGGACCACAATCTATCAACCGACCTCCATTCCTTTCAACCCTTCGAGGTTCGGACCCCTACAATCCACCCTTCCAAATT